TTGTATTCGAATGACATCTTTTTAAAGCAAATGACTTAATTTGACCATAGCATGAGGCACAAGAAGGGACATTATAAGAGTAGACTTAAAATGTTAATATCTGCACCAAAGGAAATAAATAACAATTTTCATTAAGTGGAGGTAATAAGTATATGTTTTAAGTACTGAACTCTGCATTTTATAAGGAAAGCCAACTGATCATACTGATAAATTAAAAATAGACACATAAGTTTACTATTCTGAGTTTAAAATATTAAAAGAAATAAGAATGGAAATTATACTGGTGGCCTGTGGAGAATTTAGAGAGACTTTCACCTTGTGAAAATCCCTGCCATTTGGGATGCGTTACTACTATGATAAAGAAAATATACTCCCAAAGTGGAAACAGGCCATGGTAATCCTTGAAAATGCTAACATACGTTATTCTTTAGCTGCAAAGCCCCACAGTGCAAGGTCATGTTGCTTGGTATTGCTACCTAGGCTAACATTTGGCACCTAAAGGCCCCAGAATGGCAATTACTTGCAGGGAGGTGAACTGGACAGGATGGAATTGACTGAGTGAGTAGAAATGGGACCAAGGCCAAAAAATGCCTTGGTAAGGGATCACACTTCACATGGCTGCAGTCTCTGACCTGCCCACAGTTACTATACAGGAAGTCACAGGGTTTCCTGCATCTTCATAAGCTTTGGTTGGACATCGGCTTTCACTCCAGCCCTGTTAGGCATCTCCTGTAAAGAGAATAAAAAAGGATCCACTAGTACCACTCATTCCCACAAAGGCACTCCCTCTTCGCTTCAGGTAAATTCTCCACCTCTACGCAGAAAATGTAAGAAAGGGGAGGATTTATACCAAGAACTATTTTTTATTACTGAATACATTTGTGATTTTTGCTCTAATTTCACACCCCACTGTCCCAACCTTGTGGTGCTATTACGGAATCTTCTTTAGGAATATGTAGGAAATAAGCTCTCTAGAAACTAGATGCTGGAAGACCTGGCTGTTGGGTTTCCAAATAAGGATTACCAGAGCTTTCTCCCTTCTGATCCATCTCCCCACATCCTCCCATTTCTCCTAGAAATCTAATTTCATGGAAAAATGCTAACTTTTACATCCATTTAAGAAACAAGAGGACACATAGACAGTGCATCCCAAAGATGTGCTGAGTTTTTTATTGAGTTTTTTGTTTTATTTTTTGACAGTACTGGGGTTTGAACTCAGGACCCCACATTTGCTAAGCAGCCATTCTACCACTTGAACCATACCCACAGCCCTTTTTTGCTTTAGTTATTTTTCACACAGAGTCTCACATTTTTTGCCCAGAGGCCAACCTCAAACCATTATCCTCTTATCTATGCCCCCCTTGTAGCTGGGACTACAGATGTATACCACCACACCCAGCTTGTTTGTTGAGATGAGGGTTTTGCTAACTTTTTACCTGGGATGTCCTCAAACAGCGATCCTCCTGACCTCTGCCTTCCTGCCCAGGTTTCATTGATTTACTTGCTTTCAAAATTATTCTACTTCATGTATCGGAATGGTCCCAAAAAAGGAAACAGATGGACTAAGGTGTAATAATTGAGAAGTATTTCATAAAGGGACTATTTTCAAAGTTAAGCAAGATTAAGGGGAAGATGACCGTGCATTGTGAAGCACCCTGCAGCAAGCAGTAATGAAACACTACTTCCACCCTTAGACTTACGGGGACGAGGGAAGGAGCAAGTATCAGAGCGAGACCAATAGCCAGAAATGTAGCTGCAGCAGTAGGAGATCAGCAGAAAGAGGAACTGTCATTCCCAACACACAACTGTGATAAAACATACTACTTATTTTTTTAAACATTTTTATTAGAATATGATAATTATACAGGGGGTTTCACTGTGACATTTATATATATATAATGCCTCTATTTGGTTCATTCCCCTCCATCATTCTCCCTTTTACCCCATTCCTCTTCTTGAAGTGACGTGAACGGGTTTCAATGTTCCATATTCATACTGGTATAGAAAGTACATTAACCACATTCACCCTCTTCTACCTTCCTCATCTACCCGCCCCTCCCCCTAGAATCCTTCCCTTAACATGATATTTTATATTCCTGTCCTGCATTGTTTGTCTGTTCACTGTTCAGTGGGGATTTTGTCTTGGTATTTTGCCTGCAAATATATTGTGCTTAAATCAATCTAACCCTCTCCACTACTGTTCCTCACCTTTCCCCCATCCTGTGTTGTTCAAGTTTTCAGTGTGTTTCTTGCTTCTGCATAGATGTGCTGTATTTCATTATTATTAACTCTCTATCATGATTTTCTTCTTTTCTTTCTCCCTTAGTCTTCTCTAACAGTTGCACTTTTGGAATATGTTCTGTATATGTTTCTATGTATATATGATAATGTTTGAACATACTACTTACTCATTAGAGTGTAAGTGTGACTTCTCTAACAAAGACCAATTATTATAAAGTATTTTAGACCTGAGTTGGAAGCTTCAAGGCATCAGACACCAGGACTCCTTCCAAGTTGCTGCTCCCCAATCACTAGAAAGGTACCCTTATCCCCCTTATCCCAGGGTCCTACTTGGCTCCTGACCACATCAGAATTCTTCTCTGGAGAAAGAGGAAGAAAGGGAGAATATCTTTTTTTATAAATCCCAGGCCTCAGCAGTTGGTTGCATTACTTCTATGCACTCCCATTGGCAGCACCTACTCACCTATGTTATCGGCATCATGAAAGACTGGGAAATGGGGTCGTTTTCTAACTTAAGCCTTTTAGAATACTACAGGACAGAAGGGAGAATGCATACTGGCAAAATCTAGTAATTTCTACAGTCCCTAGCTGTCTCTCAGATTCTGTGCTCCCATGAAAATATTTTGAAAGCTCCTCAGAAATAATGACTGACATGAGAGAGAATGGGAGAAAGTCTTGGAAAGGGCTCCAGGAGACTGGGAGCTGATATTTAATGACTCTTTATGGTATGATCTCAGGAAAATCTCTTTGTTAAGTCTCAGTTTCTGAGGATACTACTGTAGATGGTCTGTAATGAAGATAAGGTCCATGGCCCTGCATGGTGACTCATGCCTATAACCCCAGCTATGTGGGAGACTGTAGGTAGGCAGGTCGTGGTCCAGGCTGGCCCTCGGCAAAAACCCAAGACCCTATCTAAAAAATAACAGAATGGTAGAGCACTTGCCTAGCAGGCACAAGACCCTAAGTTCAAACCTCACTACTGCCAAAAAAAAAAAAAAAAGAAAAGAAAAGAAGAATATAGGTACATTAGTGACAAATATATGATACCCTAAAAACAGCTGTACAAACTATTGTGTCCTGAGTGGAAATAACAGAGTGTTTGGTTTTCCTCTCCCTTCTTTTTCCAACCAATCAGGACTGTAGGAGCTGTGTCTCTGGGAGAGCATGTGATGGATGCTATACATTCTGTCCAGGGTGCCTCTCTGTGTCTCTTTTCACTTGGAGGCCTCCTGCCTCTTGAATCATCTAGACTCTAAAATCATGACTGCCTTTGTAAGGCAGGAAGGGGCTTCTGGATTCTGATTTCTGTTCCTAGCTGATTCCACCTCTCTTTTATTCTCTATTTGATTAGCTTCTCTTCCCCTCTCTTTCTGGAGTTTGCTTATAGTAGATTAGGATTTTTTTTAAATCCTAATCTCTTGGATATATCTTGGGAATTACTCCTTTGCTTTTCTCCCGTCCACATGTAGTCAATACATAGTGGTGATGAATCCAAAGTGTTTGTCAAAGAGAGGAACTTAAGAAACCAATGGTGGGTTCAAATCCATACTGTGTGAGATTATGGGCTAATTGCTCATTCTGTTTGTGCTTTGATTCCATCCTCTATAAAATGGAAAAAAATTCTTACTATTCAAAAAGACAACTCAACCAGTTGCTATTTGTTAATCACAAAGGTAGAAGCTTGCCTTCTTTCTCCAGCTGAACTCTGCATTAGCAACTTTTTACATTCCAAGCCCCACACTTTTTCTACTCTTTCTCAAGGGCTCCTCACATAGTAGCTTTCATCAGCAAAACAAATTCTGCTAAGAATCTTCAGGGAGGGAAAATAGAGCACACTTACATTGCACACACAGCAGACAACTACTTAATAGTTGGTCATAGATACTGCCACACTAATATCTCTTTTCTGGTACTTGGAATCCATCATTACTTATTATTTTCTCCTCTGTGTCCCTGAGTAACTCAGTTCAAACACAAACCTACCTCCACAATGTGTACCAAAATTCTTCTTCTCAGCAACACCATATTCCTCACTTGAAAGACACAACAGTGGTCAGCTTCAGTTATTCGAGCGCTATTAGGAATCACCCACAAAAAGGACGATGGTGAATGAAATTTTCCTCATCTCGCTGTATATGTGTTCTAATGTCTTTTTATTATAATTTCATTTAGCCCTAAACTTCATCGCTGTTACTCTCCTCATTCATGCATTCACTCGTGAAATGAATGTGAATATACAGTGTGCTTCACACATAGCTACACACCAGTAATATAAACGGTGATTCTATCATCAATGGCTGACAGATCCGGGCATTTTTAGCTCACCCTCTGTTAGCAACAGCTCACATTCCAACATGGCCCTAAAGCAAGGTCTTCTTTCTCCTCTTTAGATTGAACCTTCTCAGTCATGGGAGTGTCATGATGGACCCCTGTGTCTTCCTGAATTCCTACATCTGGAGAAAGTTTCCGGTCAGGACAGAGTAGTGCTTGGGTCCTTAGACAAAGCAAGATGACTGGGGATCTGGGATCATAGCAGCAGGTCAACAGAGGATCTGTGCTGCAGTGAAGAGTTCAGCAGTTAGAGTAAGCTGAAGTGGATTTGTATCCAGGTTTCAGGACTCCCTGACTTTTGATAAGTTACTTAACCTCTGAACGCCACTACTTCCTCCCCTGTAACACCATAGCAGTAACTCCCACACACAGTGGGGTCCTGAGAATTAGTGGTGATACAGGTGCTTCTGTCTTCTTTGTATTCCCAGGGGCAGCAGTGAAGAGTTCCTAAGCATGAACGCAAACAATTCATCCTGGGGAACGGAGCCCACGCCAATGAATGGATCAGACGGGAATGTTCCTGGAAGTTTCAATAACAAGATCCTGATCCCAAACGTGGTGATTGTCCTCTCTGCACTGATTGGGCTGGCAGGAAACACCATTGTGCTCTGGCTCCTGGGCTTCCGCATGCGCAGGAACGCCTTCACCGTCTACATCCTAAACCTGGCCGGGGCTGACTTCCTCTTCCTCTGCTGCCACATCATAGATTCTCTGTTGGTGCTCGTCAAATTTTCCTATCCCAACATTATCTTCCTCCCCTGCTTTAACACGGTGATGATGTTTCCTTACATCGCAAGCCTGAGCATGCTCAGTGCCATTAGCTTGGAGCGCTGCCTGTCTGTCCTGTGTCCCATCTGGTACCGCTGCCGCCGCCCAAAACACACATCAGCTGTCATGTGTGCCCTGCTCTGGGTGATGTCCCTGTTGTTCAGCATTCTGAACAAATATTACTGTGGTTTCTTGAATGTCAGATATGAAAATGATCAGTGTCTGGCATCTAACTTTTCCACTGCTGCGTGCCTGCTTTTTTTATTTGTGGTTCTCTTTGGATCCAGCATGGCCCTGCTGGGAAAAGTCATTTGTGGCGCTGGACGAATGAAGCTGACCAGGCTGTATGTGACCATCCTGCTCACGGTGCTGGTCTTTCTCATCTGTGGCCTGCCCTTCGGAATCCACTGGTTCCTGTTAATCTGGATTCAGCTGGATTTTAATGCCATGTCTTACAGCCTTTATCTGACTTCAGTTGTCCTGTCCTCTGTTAACAGCTGTGCCAATCCTATCATCTACTTCTTCGTTGGCTCATTTAGGCAGCAGCTGAAGCAGCAGACCCTCAAGCTGCTTCTCCAGAGGGCTCTGCAGGACACCCCTGAGGGAGAGGAATGTGGAAGCAGCCTTCCTCAGGGAACCCAAGAGATGTCAGTAAGCAAAGTGGAGCAGTGACGCAGAGCCTCTGCCTGGCCATTAGACGTGGCTTTACCAATGAACACGTCACTGTCATACTTCACAGTGGTCTGCTCTTTTCTCAGCCTCCTGCCTCTGAAACGCCTTGGTGACCCCTCCAATGTCTTCAACAAGATTGTTTTAACCTGGCTTTTGTAGTTTTCCTGAGTAAAAGCATTAGTCTGGGAGAAGACTTTCTCCATTCTTTTTGTTGTTATTGTTCATAAACATTTTATTCCAATGAAATAAATCAAAATTAGAAAAAGAAAACACAGAAGATGATGGAGAAAATATACATAAGAACAGTTTATAATCTAATGTCTTTAGGGACTATATTTTAATCAGTAAAGATTAAGATAACTTTTTTGTCTTTTTTTAATTTATTTTCATTGTTGTGCTGGATGGGGGTACATAGTGACATTTATAAAAGTTTTTACAATGTATCAAATATATCATACTTGAATTCACCCCCTCCATCATTCTTTTTTATCCCCCCATCCTCCCATTCCTGGAATAGTTTCAAAAGGTATAATTTTCCCATTTACATACATGTGTACACAGTATTTGCAATGTATTCACCCTCCCACTGGTACCAACCCCCCCACAGCAAGACCTATTCTGCCCTCCTGTTCTACAATTTTGTAAAAGAAAAAAAATGTCATTTTTGCTTGCCTAAAATAACTACACAAGGAGTTTCCTTGTGACACTTCCATGTATAAATGTGTGTGTGTGTAATAACCTCTTCTTGATATTACCAATAAATTAATAGTAACTTCCTCCAAATCTTCCTTATTAAATGCTATTTCTTTGCAATTTTTGTTGTAACAGAAAAAAGTTCCTGTGGAAAACCATAACTCTTGTTTGTGGTTGTTTTCTACCTAATAGTACAGAAAAAGAAGATATCACATGGTTTCCCATGAAATATCCTCATAATACAACATCTTCAGGTGAAAAGGAACACTTCTACACTATTGGTGGGAATGTAAATTAGTGCAACCACTATAAAGCAATATAAAGGTCCCTTAAAAAACTAAAAATAGAACTATGATATGATCCACCAATAACATATTCCAAAAGAATGTGACAGAGCCACTTGCACACCCATGTTTGTTGCAGCATTATTTATAGTAGCCAAGCTTTGGAAGCAGCCCAGATGCCACACAAATGATGAACAGATTAAGAAAATGTGGTATACGTACACAAAGGAGTTTTATTCAGTCATAAAGAAGAATGAAATTATGTTTTTTGCAAGTAAATTCAACTGGATGTAACTGGAGAACTTCATGTTAAGTAAAGTAAGCCAAGCTCAAAAACTCTCTCATATGTGGAAGCTATACCTATCAGTTAAATATAGAGAGAGAAACATATTATATGTGTGTGTGTCTAGATAGATAGACAGAGAGAACAAAATTGTATTAGTGAGTCTGTCTGAGGGAGCTGTGTGGGAGTGGAAGAGAGAAAGAAAATGCTAGAGAATGAAAAATATTGAAACAACCCATCTATGGATGAATATAATACAATGTACAGCAAAATAAGCTATTGAATATTAGGGGATCCTGGTGACAGAGAATGAGTAAGTAATGGAAGGGAGGGAGTTAATTTTATAAAAGCATGATATATACAGACTTGAAGTACCAAGACAAAACCCTCTTAGACTATCAATATACACTTAATTTAAAAAATGAAGGGCAGGAAAGACAAATAGATGTTTTCTGGGGGAGGTACTTGTGGGAGGGTGTGGGCATAAGGAAAGGGTGAATATGGTGGATGTATTTTGTATCCATATATGAAAATAGAAAAATGAGACCTGTTGAAATTGTTCTAAGAAAGGGAGAAGAGGGAAGAGGGAAAACAATAGAGGGTGTAATTCTAACTAAGATATATTTAAGCACATATGTAAATGCCACAATGTATCCTCCTATATAACTATTATATGCTAGTAAAATCATTAAAAAGACAATATCCTCAGCAAATGTTTTACATTGATGCAATCACAATACTCATTTTGTTGAATCTTATAGCAGCCCTCAGTCTACACTCTGACATGAAACCAATGCACAATTCCTAAAAATATTTTCCAAGTAGGGTCCCTGCAAGTACTGAGGCTACAAGCATTGTGCCACAACCTAGTCCTACTGTCCTGAGATCCAACAGAAGAATCTCTTACCTCCAGTCATCTCACTTCAGCAGCCAGGATCTCCAAATACCTTGCGATGCAGAACCTATGGGTGCTAGTTTAGAAAAGAGCACTTTACCTAGAATTGGAAAATCTGTATTCTAAGGTTAACCCATAATGACCTTGGGTCACATCCCTATCCAGGGAAACTCAGGCAGGTAATGAGGTTATGGAATTTCACTGATTTGATCTTATGCCTTAAGAAGTCTGGAATCTATTTTCAGAATAAGGCAGTGGGATTGACTATTTCATAGACATGGTCTGAATATAACTACCATACTGATTAAGAAAGACTTAATTTCATGCCTCTATGTCTGAACTATAATGAAGATAAGCAGGCGGTCTTTGTCTCTATTTGGCAGCTACCTGTAATTTAGAGAAGCTATTGTGGTGCTCTTTCTGTATGTTGATATGGTGTGTATTGGGCACCAACATTGTCAATACACCTATATTAGCCATGAAAATAGGTGAGATGTGGTTCCTGGTCTCAGGAGCTTACAATAGAGTATGGAAGAAGAGTTCTCTTTAATATACCTATCGTATTGGTATGACTGGTCTTGAGTCCTTCCAGGATACAACACAGAGATGAGTAAGAGAGAGAGGAGATCCCCTTAGTAACTATGTATAGAAGATGAATAGATATTTGAAATTTAAATTAATGAATCTACAGTTTTACCAAACACACCAAAGTTTTGTTGTTGTTGTTGTTGTTTGTAGTAGTGGGGTTTGAACTCTGGATTTCATATTTGTTAGGCAAGTGCTATGCCACTTGAGCCATGCCCCAGCCCTCAACTTGACAACTTCTAAAGAGTACAATGGGAGAAAACATCCAGGATTGAATTTGTAATTTGATTTGTAAAATTTTATCTGTACTTTTTCAAAGAGCTATTGGAAAAATATACAAGATTTTAATATTTGCTTAATTATGGTGGAGAGTGTGTGAATTCTTGTATTTTTTTCTAGCCTAGGATCCTGGTTTGGAAACTTCTCTCCAGCATAGCTAATGTCCTCATTCATGGTAACTTCAATATCCATGTAAGTAGTCCACCCAAAAAACTGATCTTTCAGCTGTTTTTAACATTTCATTCTGAATTAACTATAGACTTAAAAAGCTACAAAAATAGTACAGTTTCTATATGCCTCACTATCCAGCCCATACCAGTGGTGTTATAGTACGTAAATATAGTATATTAGCAAACCACTAAGTTGACATTGATACAACAAAATTACCTACACTACAGATCTAATTTGGATTTCTTCACTTTTTGCATGCATTTATTTTTAGGGGTAAGGGTTACACATTTGTATGATATTACAACATTTTTATTGCATGTATAGTCCATATAACCACCACCACATTCAAGATACAGAGCTGTTTCTTCACCACAAAAAAGCTCTCTTGGTCTTCCCCTTTGTACTCATGCTTACCCCACCCCACTTCCCAAAACTGTCAGCAACCACTGACCTGCTCTCCATCTCTGTATTTTGTCATTTCAAAATGTTATGTGAATGGGATCATACATTGTTTAACTTTTCCTCACAGCATAATGCCCATAGCATCCATCCAACTTGTGATTGTATCAATAGTTTTTTGTTTATTTTTAATTATACTGAAGGATTCCATTATGAGAATGTATTAAGCTTTGTTTCACAAATCACAAGTGAAATGACATTTGACTTATTTCCAGTTTGGGTATTATAAATAAATATGATATAAACATTTGTATACAGATTTTTAAGTGAACATTGTTTTACACTCTCTGGGACATGTGCCATAGGCAGAATGTTGGGTGGTATAATGAGTGCATTTTTAATTTTTCAGAAAATGCAAGAATTTTCCAGAGTGCTAAATCATGTTACTTTCCCATGGCAACAGATAAAAGATCCAATTTCTCCAAATCCTTACCAACATTTGAAATGAAGTGTGTTTATTTTTAGCCATTATTAGAGGGGAATATGGTCTCCTATGCAGATTTCATAAAAGGCCTCTCTCCAATGTTTATACATGGGATCTTCTCCCTGTGTCTTCACATGGACCTCATTCTGCATTTCTGTGTCTTTATCTCCTCTTCTCATTCACTACAGATAAGGCCCACCCTAATGGACTCATCTTAACTTAATTAGTTCTTTAAGAGCTTGGTCTCCAAACACGGAGATAATGGGGATTAGGATTCCCACATATAAGTATTGAAGGGACACAATTCAGCCCACAAAGTCTTTATTTAAATACATGCTGAATTAATCCACTAAAGAAAATTTCTGAATATTTTTAATAGCTTCTTTCTTAGTAAGCTTTGTGTTACTATAATGAAATACTTGATACAGCCTACTTATGAAATAAAGAGGTTAATGTAGCTCACGGTTTTGAAGGCTGAAAGTCCAAATGTAATAGCCCAGGCACAAGTCTCATGATAGATGGAGGGAGTACCATATATCCAGTCAGGTAGCCGGAGAGCTGGATAGGGCCAGGCTTGCTCCTTTTATAACAACTCTCACAAGAACTCTAGGGGGTCAAATGAGAACAAATCCTAGAGCATATCCACAATGATCCAAGGAGCTCCAACCAGACCCCATCTCTTAAAGGACCCAAAGAACTTCCCAATACCACCACCCATGGGACCAAATATCACTCACATGAACCTGGAAGGAGAAACAGTTAAACATATCCAAACTCAACTTCTAATGCAAATTACATTTTCAAAAATGGCAAGTAAATAAGTATGACTGTAGCATAAAGAACAAAAAGGAAGACATGGGAGATAAGAATTTAAATTTTGAATATATACACTAAATTAAATAAATAACAAATTTCCTTAAATGGAGGAAGGAAAGAAAAGAATGTGTTATGTGTGCTGAACCCTTCACATTTCATAAGCAAAGTCAGTTGATCCACTTCCTTACACTGATAAATTTAAAATAGAAATAAAAATTTGCTATTCAAAACTAATAATAATTAATAAGAATGGGTAAGGATAGTTAGTGGTGACCTCTGAAGAATGGGATTCAGGAGACTACCAATGTATACACTTCTATTTCATTTGAAACAAACATTTACACATTAATGCATTGGTACTAAAATAAAGAAAATACTTAAGAGAAACAGAAGATTCCTGCCACGGTAAGCCTAGAATGACTCAAGTCTTTATTTATTAGTTTAAAAACCCTACTATGTGATCTCACATTGCTTGAGGTTGCTACCTAAGATCAGGAACATCAATTAAAGG